AGGACTGTCGAATAACCGTGTGACATCCACTAGGTCACCTCGGTTATCCCTACCTTTACTTAAGGGTGGGCGGCGAGGAAAAACTGCCCAATCACGGCAGGCTCAAAACCGAACGCTAATTGGTTACAATGAAGATGGTTGGGACCTTTGGAAAGGGTACTGCGAACGCCTCCAGATGAGATTCCTCCTCAAGGGAAAATTTGGAAATCTACCCCATCTGGAAGCAATTACGCCGAGTGGTCCAAGTCCCAACCCCGCTAACGGCCTGGTCGTAAATCAAGGATAAGTCCTTTACGGAGGACCACCAAAGAACGGTCGACGGGGCCCATGAGTTTTACCATGTCGAAAACTAACGTTTCCGCCACCGGGGTGACAGGCCCACACCCTAGCCATTAAGGACCTATGTGCCTGGCACCCGCCGTGAAGCCCAGATGGGGAATCCCTAACAGTCTCAAATTGAAGGAAATCCATACAATCCGCTCGTGAACCGTTAGCCTTGTTTCGAGTTAATTATCTCTACTATTATCCCTGCAAACTACAGCTACATACACATACATATGTAGATGGTTGCAATAAGTGCAAAATATTTACGCTGCATTTGAACTATGTTTAACAGTTGGCAGCCAAATTTCTTATTGATCAACGTTTCTCGTTAATAACTCATAAACAAAACTATGGATTGCATTTGCACTAAGGAAAAAGTTATTTCAAATGACTTTAGGAACCCCTCAGATAATTAAGGTTGGTATAGATATAGTTCGGTAACGGATTAGGTAGTACCAGGAAAGGTATCCATCTGATGGCGAACGTCGGTGGTAGCCATCACAGTTGTAATGAACCGTATTAGAATCTCCGACAAATGGCGATAAGAGGGAAATCCGAAAATAACCTGTATATTTACCTGTATTTATATATACCTGTATATTTTATAGCTTTTTTGTATATTTTCATCCAGACGCAATAGTGTAGAATAGGCAAAGAGATAGCGGGAGAGAAAGTCTCATGAAATTGGTCGCAGAGAGTTTAGTTGGCGAGATTAATTGTGGAATGCACAGGAGAAATAACGTAGCCTCTTGAAAGATAATCTCCAATTTCATATAGAGTCAAAGCTCTGCACCCCTCAATCAGGGACCACTTGGACTTCTTTCTCTCTCTTTCGTTCAATTCCCAGAACCCGAAAATTTCGTGCATAGTACCTCCACAACTCTCGTTTTGGCTGGCTTTTTCCCCAAGAAGGAACAACTCTAGGCGACGTTTGGGACCGTGATTTAACTCCACCTATGTTGATCACAAACTTGTACGAACTAAAATTCAATATGGCAGCCTATCCGCATCCGGTAGACCACATGCCGACGCGACGCGTGACGATATTCATTTTAAGTCCAGTCATCTGAGAGATTTGTTCGTGAGTATTGCACAGTCAAATTGACGATGGATGATTGTACGCTGCAAGCCGTAAGAAAATTTTTCGGGAAGTGGTTTGAGCAGTATGTATTTCTTTTTTGTTACAGTTGTCGCTATTATAAATCTCTCAATACTTCAAATTATGTTTCTTATTTTATTTTTAATTAGGTATTGCATAAAACATAATATAATATTACGGAAACAAGAGTCTGATATTTTTATGGTACAGAACTTGAAAGAATTGAAGACATGCGTGAATCAAATTGATACGTATAAGGCAAATTTAGACAGCGCATTAAAGCGTATACAGTACGAGCAAAGAAAACGTATTAATATTTGATATTTTTTATCATTTATATCTTTATATTAAAAGGTTGATTTTAAAACGTTCAGGTCATTGTATGTTTCAAATGTAGAGGTCTAGGACAAATTAATGTATAAGATTGTTCATTTTAGGAACACGCAAACAAACAAAAAGGACTAAACAGATATATCATACAGGATCAAAAAATTTTATTTTTACTGGTTTCTCACTAAGAGTACGATTATTGAACACATCTGCCATTATTCCTTCTTGTCCAGTTAATGCAGTTTCAACAATATGCATCTTAAACAATATAAAGAGAGGGGATGAGATTTTCGATCATATTATCAAAAACACCGCGAAAGATGTTGTGGTAACAAACTATGAGTTATCTATACCATTGATTTCCGATCTTTTAAGCCAATTTCAAAGAAGGCATAGGAAATTTGATTATAACGGTGTTCTAATGAGCTTAATTGATAAAAATCCTGTCAGCCAAAATTTGAAATGTGAATATGAAGTTCCAGTGAAACAATTAATGTCTTTCTATGAGATCATATTTACCAAAGTAGTTCCCCTCGCAATATTTGGAAAGTTGAAGAATCTTAAAAAAGCAAAAAAGGCTTTAAAGTATCTTTTAACTACACCACGTTATAGATCCTATGATTTGTGGTTTCTTCTTGAGAAGCTAGATGTATGTAATGTGTTTATTTATTGAAGATGCAATTTATATTAAGAAGTATATCTTAATGCTAAGATTTATGTATTTTAGATTTCTAGTATTACGTGGTTAAGAAATATACCATATCCAGAAACACAGTGGCTTATTTTAGCAAAATTTATTAAATGGTTCTTTAAAGGATATCTCATAAAAATATTATTCAAACATTTCCATATAACATCACTTTCTTCGGGCAATAATGAAAGATTATACATTGCGCGCTCAACTTGGTTTTCCATTCAGAAGAAATTTGTAACTAAAAAAATACGTTCAAATGCCCTACATCCTGATGTGGAGTACGATGAATGGAGTCCACCAATAGGAATCTATAAATTATATCCGAAATATTCTGGTGTACGTCCTATATTAGTATCAAAGTAAGTGAAATATTGGAGTAGATTATTGAAAGTATAAAACTGATATAAACATTATTTTTCTGTATAACTTTTTCTGTATTAGACATGAAAAGAACGATGAACATAATTTGTATATAATTCACACGTTTTTAAAACAGTTAAAAATGACTGCGTATGGATTCAGTAATTTTCAAGAGGATTGGAAATCAATTGTTCATTATACACATAATTCAAAAATTCAAAAACCCTATCTTGTATCCTGTGATGTAATGGATGCATTTGGTTCTATAATACAAGGTATGGTCTTTTCTAAAATTAAATATTTAAAGCAAAATGTACAAATTTTAATACATATTAATTCAGTTAGCTCATTGGTCATGTTACCAGCCCTGGTAACAGTAAAATTCATTGCATCATGTTCTCTCACATTGTTCCTCAGCTTGTAAACAAAAGTGGTCACCTTGAGAAGTGGAGATATGATTATTCAAAAATATAAAAACGAGTTGCAAGGCTAGAACAATCGTATCTCCTCTTGCCAAGTTGTCCATTTTCATGCCTAAGCTGAGGGACATTGTGAGAGAAATTATTGTATATAACATTGTATTTTTCATTCAGGAGATTTGCATGATATTATAATATCATTATGTGAACAACTACCAGAAGTTTTATTACTTCATTTGTACATAATTAAAAGTAAGAGACGTGTAAAAGATGATCCATTATGTTACAAAGAATTTTTTTCCAATGAAAATTTACAATTACCTTTGTCTCCTGGGACTTTATATGTATGTACAAAATCTGCAACGTCTCCTATCCAAAAAAGTTGGCTATTAGACAAAATTTGGGATTATATTTCTTATCAAAGGGTAAATTGCAAATTTTACATAATCTAAATAAATAGTTTATGTGTATGTAAATGTTTATAACATTATTTAAATAATATAACACATTTTTAGGTAAAAAT